ATTATTATATGTATATAAATTATATTATTTACCAGATTCCAATCATTTTTGGAAAATGTATGAAAAATGTGTATCTGCAAATAATGTAATATAATGATGAAAATTAGTGCACTATTACGAACAGCGATAATTGTTCAATTAATACTCCATCACATGCGCGATGTGCACGATATCTTACGCAAACGTACATACACGAGGGCAATCTCGTAGGATATGTGTTAAGAGCGCAAGCAGGAACAGCATGTTCCTGCATAACTCCAAGGCGACGGGCTGTAATAATCTATATATGGGGACCTTGACTTGCAAATTAGTTTATTATTTTCGCACTCGGGATAACCGTATCGCCACCTCCCTTTAGATGTGCGACGAGGTAATGCGCCTGGCCTGCGGGCGAACGTACTGCCCTGTAATTGGACACCGCTAATGCACCCCGTCCTCGTTCGTCGAACGTGAATGGAATAAGGTGACTGTGAAGGGGCCACGAAGGAAATCGAAGGGAAGAAGGCGAAGGAGACCCGAGGATGGGTGTCACGTGCCGATGCGGTAAGCGTCGTTATTTAGTTCGATCGCGCAACCGATCTATTCCACCACCGTAGCCCGTATCTTCCATCTCGATTTGCCCTCGACACTCTGTTGACGCCTCTGTTCAGCTTCCCGTTCAGCATCACTCTCTCGACTTTCTCAACATCGTCCAGCCGTCGCTTTTACGCGGTTTCTCCGCCGCATAATGCACTCCGTTGCATTCCCATTCGTGTCTACATCGACCGTACCACGGTTACCATTTTTATTTTCCACGAGGTTTCCTTTCTTTCGCTACTTCGACGCTCGCTTCAGCAGCTCCACCCGCCACAATGCGCACATTTTTTTTTTTACATGTTTTTCCCCACCCCCACTCCTTTCCCATTGCCCTTCCCATCTTCTCGGCGTGTCCTTCCTATTTCCAGACTGAATCCCTATTCTTCAGCATCTACTTCAGCGCGCAGCGCCGTTGCCCACTTCGAGCTGCGATGACCTGGATACGACCTTATCGTTCGATGCTATAACGTCCTGCGCCGTTCTGCCATACTTCGATTCAGAGCCCGCAGCTTTTGGGAGCTTTAGTTTCTCTCGCAGCTCGAAGATGCTAAGCTCGAGATAGAATCGACGATCCTCGAACGTTTCAAGAGTTCGCAATAGTACTCGGCACGGCCATATTTCGTTCTTGCGAAGGCGCGATAATCCGACCAAACTTTCATTTAACGAAAATGGTGCTCAACTCCGACCCGAAGACAAAGAGAAAAGGCGTGAAAACCAATAAGGACGGTATGCGACAGAGAGAACCAAAGAAATTGAATCCATTACGTGATAGATCCGACGATGAAACCCGAAACGGGTTTATCTTATACCGAGCCAATGTTCTCGAAAGTTAAATGTTCTTCTGTGCTACATTACATTACCCTTCGATAACAAGGTATTCGATCAGATCGTTCATTATATCGAGAGCGATCCAATGTCACGTCGCATTGACTTCTTATTAAAAAATTCCAAATTCAGGGATAAAAAACTGATCCTACGCCATCATTATTATCCCATCTTCAGTGCCGTCCAAAGAAAGAGTGATTGAGATTTTCCTTTATTATAGATTACATTTGTAGTTCTACACGGAAACGCATGATGTTGTATCAACGAGTTCAGTGTAATCGAAATAAAATTACAACGTCAGTGTTTCCTTGACCATACCTGGCATCTTTAATAACACAGAAAATTTATTGCGAAAGATATTACCTCAGCCAGGGATTGAACCTGGACCTCCCTACACTCTAGGCGGGCGTCTCACCAATTCGATCACCGAAGCATACGATAATATTTGTCGCAATAACGGTATAAAGAGGTTGTCTACGCGTATATTTTCGACTTTTGTGAACTGCGCGCCGATAAGGGTTGTCGGCCGTACACAGAACTATTGAATACGCGATTTTTAACTTTTCCCTCCCCCTCCCCCCTTTCCCAATTGCGTGGGAAACGCCATGTTTGAGGTCAATGGTAAATTGATTAATAAAGTTAGTGAAATGATTAGTTGAAATAAAATTGTTGAAACAACAGTATTAATGAATGAAAAACATCAGATAGTTGTCTTAATAATCTGGTTATTTAGTTGAATGGTTAAAATTAAAATCCATGGCAGTTGCAATTCAGTGAATTATTTACGTTTGTGGCAGCCCGCGACACGTTTGATTCAAGCAACTTCCTTGTTTTCATTCAACAGCATTTTTTCCGCGTATAATTATTACAAAGTGCAATTGGCCAGTTTGAAAAACACTGCACATAAATCGAAAACTTGGATTCAATTGACATTCGTACGATATCTTGCAGCGAATCAAATAACTGATATTAACAGGCTAAAAAGTTTGACGGTAAGTAGATTTATTTCGCAGCGATAACCAGGGCTCCGTTTACCAAAAGGAGACGAGCTCGGATGCAGGAAGGAATAGAAATTGAATATATTACGGCTGAAGCGTCGCTGTATAACGCAGGGTCGTCTATCTTACTGATTTTCTTGGCAAACTCGTTCGCTCCTTAGGCGATGCATTCATATCGCCTTTAAACTCGACAGAATATTGCCCGCTATACAACGTTTATTACTGACGAATAAACCAGTCGCGAATTTTATGCACGTTGGTATATTTTACAGATAACTCGTATACATATCATGTTTATTAACGTTTTCATCTCAATTTGATAAAGTTTTCTTGTAAATTGTACTCGATCAACTTGAACTTAGATAACCGCATATTCTTCTAGTGTAATTGAATTACTTTGTTGTAACTATAAATTACTTGTACGCTTGAAATACTTGTACAATTTCTTTGATTCAATTTTAACACGTTACGGCTTGCGTATGTAAAGATGTTGTAGAGTAGCAGCGAAATTTCTTTCTTGTATATTCTTCTTATGTATGTACGCTTTATTGCAAAGATATTTGGAGGTAGAAAACTGCCCTTGAAATTACATTAACATATTAAACCGACTATCGGATAAACTTGCACAAAAATATCGCTTCGAACCACAGGTATCTCTTGTGATGTTAAAAACGTTTTATATACATATAATGTTCATCAATATTTCAGAGTGAATATAAATTCTGAAAAATCTAAATTGCTAGACATAAAATAGTGTAAGTTTTAGAAAATATTTCTTTAAAATATTTTGACAGAGCCGGGACTATTTAATCGGAATTATATATATTGAGTTAACTTGAAAAAAATACCTTCCAATTTTGTTACTTTACAATATATCTGGAGTTTCTCGAAAAGAGAAGAAAAAGCAGCAAATGTTTTCTCATGAAAGAATAACATTGAAAGAAAGAGCAAATTTAAAACATTTTAAATGGAAAGAAATTAAATCTAAACACGACGAACGTGTGTGAACTGCAGCGATAAAAAGGCGCTATTTCTATCTGCTCGAAGTACATATAAAATTACGTTATTCGAAATAGAGAGAATGTAAAGCATCTCATCAGAGTGATACAAATAAATGCTAATAGTTAACCTTAATTATCTGCTGTTATTCTCTCGATAAACTATTAAATTTGTAATATTTGTTTCAAAGACTGACTAGTTGATTTAATATTTATATAACATATTTATAAGATTGATAAAAAATGGTGAATATTAAAATTGAGTCGTACTAGCGTTTAATAATAAAAAATGTGTTGTAGTAGCGGGCATTTTTTAGAAAATGTAGTAAGTAGATACTGTTACATTATCGTTCATTATATCTCTACGGTGTCGTTAGCGTAACAGTCCCCGCGAAGCATGCTCTCAAGAAAGAACGTAATTATAATGATGATAAGAATGCATAATAAGAAACGTTAATGCATTGCGAAACCCAATTATTGACACGAATAAGTAAGAAAAGAGCACATCTCGCAACTTTGTAGTGGCCCCTTATGAATTTCTTGCGTTAAGATTATTTAATGAAAGGAATAAAGCGACACGAGCGTCGTTTGAAGGGCCGACGATGCAAAGCGGAACGAAGGCGAAGCAGGCAGTCTATTATGTACCGAGTCTAATAACAGCTTACCGGAGCTTACTAAAGCTTCCTGAGAGCTCCTGGAAGCGAAGTGATTGTTACAGATATCGAGCATGGCAACAAAGAGGTAGGACCAATGGGATTTGGAAGAAAAAGTTCGCTCAAGAGCTCCTCTTTTTTCATAGTAATTTCTGCGATCGTTGATCCTTTATAATTGCGCAAGAATCTCAGAGATCTTTCCGAATTAATCGGCGCGATTCGGAAATTGTACAAAATGAGCACGACGAATAAACCGAACCAGTATTTGCTTAATTGCCGACGTTAAAAGAGTTTTCAGTCAACTTCAATTGAGATTTATAATAATATTGCCAATAAAAAGATATTTTGTTTAAGAAGTTCAGTTAAATGACAGAGGAGGAAACACTAATATCGGTTATTAATCAAACCGATTTATTTTATATTAACGTTATAGATGTAAAAATATATACACATGTTATGCGTGTAAATTATTAACAATAATAAGCGACAAATTCTATCTGGATTGAAAAAGAGAGAGAGAGAGAGAGAGAGAGAGAGAAATTTTATGATAAAAATTCTGTATTTAAAAAGTACAGTAATCATCGTTTATTACTTTGATGGATTATTTTCTTTTTACTTATTCAGACGATGCCTCTCTTCGTCATTAAGTTGAAGCGTAATTAGTTAAAGCTATCCTACATCGTCCGATCCAGGAAAATTGGACGGAAGTGGAACATTTACGAGAATACTTTGACGAGAATGTCGATTAGTGCGACATCGTTATCTTGAAGGAACTATCGACCCGATTCAAGGAGTAACAGAGAAAACCCGGGCGTCAAATGTCAACGAACGACAGTGCTCGAGTTTCGGGACGGACGATAATTCGTCGCGCAGCAATAATCGAGAAGATCATTTGTCTTCTACAAATCACAAGTAAAAAGGAAAGAATAATGGCCGTCTGCTGTCCTTACCTTTCCGGAGCCCCTCGTGTTGCATAGGAGAACACCGGCAGCGTGAATCCTGTACTCTTTGTCGAGTTGCTCGTGTTGTCCTTGAATTTTCCTGCAGACAAAGAATTTAACGGAAAGATTAATTTAAAAGCGTCTACAATGAAGACGAATACAAAATACAAGCTTCCTATACGCTGCTCACTTAAATGCATCGTCATGAATAAAATTACGGTGGAAATTGTTATCAATAGCTGAAGCGTAAACAATGTACCGTGAGCCAAATTCGTTGCAAGTAAAAATTATCTTTTAATTATCTTAACGTTGAGAAAATATCTGCATAAAAGAATCCATCACTTCCAGCACCATTCTTGTGTGAAACTGTGCAGTATAAGGACAGTTACCGTCTCTAGATCCCTTGGCAACGAGCCTAAATCGCCGTAACGAGAAGAAGATGGCACCCTCACGACCCACTGGCACATTTTTCGGAAGACTCGCGCACCCGGTGATTTATAAACTAAAAAACTTTCTCGCACGAGGCAACTTTGGCAATTACGAGAAAGCAAACAATCTTATAAATTAGGTCCTTCCCGCTTGCTTCTTCGTGCGGGGTGATCCTGTGCATTGGCGTGTGGACTTGCATGTGATCGCTAGCACATGACGGACCAGCGCAAGAGCGAACGGGAGTTCTCCGTCTATCCGAGAAATTCTCTCAAGCTTAACGGCGCAGTAAAGTTTCAGAAGGGAATTAATTGCGCGAGCGAGAGGTATCGCACGGGCTTTTTTGTCGATTAAGTTGATTTTGAAAGCGGTTGCAGGACGCTTTAACACGTCGAGCGACGGCGATAACATGCTAATCTTGCCTACAAAGACTTTGCTAACGTCGTAGACTGTATACGAAACACTCTGGCTCGAGAGAAATAAGGAGATATTAACAAAATTCAATAATACTTCATGGATTCACAGGCATTTTCAGACACATTAACAATAAAGTAGAATGTCCAAAATTCTCGAATGCACAAAGCACATATTTTAACGATGATGAAAGCTTTAAAGCATGTTGAGAGCATTTTCAATCAAATGAAAAAAATAGCGATTTATTATTTACACGTAGATTCAATTAATAATTTATTAAACTTTCTTGAGGCGATATTTGTCTGGTTTTTTTTATTCAATTATTTCTCTGTCTACTTTAAATTGACGAAAAAACGCGTAGGTAAACGGAACTATGAATGCGCGACATCCTATTCTCAACCTTCAAAGGACGAAGGAAAAGATTAATATCATTGAATGTCTGTGAACAAAGTAAATTAGGTTTATTCAAGCAGACATACTGCTCATCGCATTATGCATAATGCTCACTGCAAGATAAACACCGCGAGACGATGGTAAAGAAACAAGATTGTTTAGGGATTTGAGGGCAAAGTAAATAGCTGAATTATGCGTCGACTGTGATGCGCGATTCATTCCACCTCTGGCAACTTTATCGTACAATAAACAAAGTTTACTACAAATATAATTTCTCGTTTAATATCTCGCACACAATATACTAACATATTATACTGCAGTAATATTATCTATAGTAATATTTCATCGGATAAATTTACATAAGCGTTATCGAGATTCGCTTTTTCTCTAGACTTTTTCCTCAAAAGATTTTCCACGCCGCCAGAATCGATTTAAGCAAAGGTTATCCATTCGATTTCCGCCGCAAAGTATCTAGGTTCTACGAACAGAAATCTTTCTCCCTCGAGAACAATTTCTATCTCATGCCTCAGCCAAAATCGTCGTAGCAGACGCGGGATAATGAATATGTAGAAGCTCTTATCATTACTGAGAAGCGCCGCATTTATCACTATTATCATATAACTCTATTATACTTGATTACATTTGAATCCGTAACAATTGTATCTCAAGTCTGTCTAATAGAATTGCATCTTGTCTTACATTTTTGATTTCTAATTCCGCCGGCCGTCTGAACTTGACTTCTTTAAATGCATATTCCTTTGTGTGTCAGAGGCAAGAGTGAAAAAATGTTGAGGTATCCATTACCTCATAAATTGATGAATGCCGCATAATCAAAGAGCCGACTGCGAGAGGGTCACCGTGTGCAAACACGAAGCGAGATACCGCAAACGCGAGGGTGGGGCTATGCAAACAACTTGGTGTTCATACGCGTGAAAGAAAAAGTCTCGCATCCCGCTGACCCACTCTCTTTCTTAAGGCGTCATCCTCGCCACGTACAATGCAAAGGGCGAGGATAATTTCGAAAGCGCTTGCAAAATAAAATAAAACGTGCACGATACTGGTGCCTGAGAACTAGGGGAAAGTCCCCTAGTTAGAGACAGGCTCCTAATACAAGATAACGGAGTTTCTACTAAATTAAGACATCATATATTGGTTCCACCATGAATTTAGTGCCCATGGAGTGAAATCTGATTAGTGAAAAATTGATAGATCGTGTAGTCGTCGCGAAAAAAGATTTACAATTCAATGTGGCCATTGAAAACGTACTAGGTATCTCACATTAGAATCCTAGCTCATAACAGAGGACTTTCCTCTATGTTACGTTCTCGTTTCCGAGCCGATCCATTACGAAATAAACGCAAAGTATTTACGGTTAAATTACATAATTGAACCTCACGCGACGATAAGATAATACGTAAGTTACAAAACTTTGTAATACTGCATACTGTAAACTGAAAAGTTAGTTTAAACCTTGATATTAATGAGTTAAGCTTCGTTAAGACGTAATTTCGCTCGTTAAGTTCGCTTAAGCATTATGCAGAATGCTGAAGGTAACGCGATGAAACATTTTCTGATGGGAGTAAAAAGTGCTGCGATAAAATTATTACTCCGTCACGGGACTGCCCTCGCTAAATCTTTTAGAAGTTAAGCTCTCGCATTCCCATAGGAGTCGGTTCTAACATAAAGTTCACGTTTATCCCGCATTTTAGTTGCCTCTTAGTAAATGTATTATTCGAAAGCCTTCACTACACAATAATTACTTATCCCAGTACATAAAATGTGCAAAAGATAATTTTCAAAAAATCTTACTTGCAAATAAAACACGATAAACCTGTTTAAAAATTAATTTACTTGCGCCTTCAAGACTTATTGTTGAATATAAGACAATAGAGTGTACCGTAAATTAAAAGAAAACATTTGCAATTTTATATATGCTAATTCAACAATTCCATTTCTACAATGCGCCAGCTATACCTATATTTGTACCACTAAAAGATATTATTAGAGAAAACTTACGATATAGCGTGCAGCAATTCCTGTCGCTGCTTCTCCTTCACCTTTACGCTTCCACCTTCTTCGAGAGCTGCTTGCAATTCCCTTTGCAAGACTGCCAATTTGCGGCGCTCACCCTCCAAGAGTAATGAAGTAACCTGAAACAAAATAAAAATTATTTGCTATCTCTTGTTGGATGGCAGTAATTAAACACGCTTTCTTAAATATATTTAAACATATGCCGTATCTTGAAATGAAAAATAAAAAAGAAACAATCGCTATAAGGTATTTATACTTTATTCAACTGGTATACTATTTCGTTCATTCATGTACCTAACAATGGTAGACCACCACATAGATAACAGTGTTACTTCATCGTTCAATAAAGAATACAAATTAACGTAGAAAATGATTATTTGAAAAAAACTATCCTTTGCATCAAAATATTGTGAAGATATAAATAGCGTATCTTTAAAAATGACCAAAATCTCAATTTCTGCAGAAATTCGATACTATTTAAACGACGGCTGATTACTTCGTGAGACAAACTGACTTTCTACGAAAAAGAACTTATCATACTTTCTTCTATTACCCTATAGTTTAACTTGCCGTGTAGGCCGTCTAGGCGTAAAAGAAGCGACTGTTGCTCTTACCATCCGAGAACGCGTATGATAAAAGAGAACATATTAGAGAACGTATCAACTGATGGCAATACAGTTCTTTCTTCAATTAATCGTACGTTGGTATACTACAAATTCTACGCTTTATCTATATCGACAGTAGTACTAAACAATTGATCTAATACAATCTTGTTTTTGAAAATAATCTAATAAAGTAAAATCTCTTATTATGAGATAGGATCCTAATATGGGATAGCTGGGTTTCTGTTAAATTAATAGGCATCATCAATTGATTCCACCGTGAATTTATTGCCCTTGGAGCGAAATCTGTTTAGTTAAAAATTCATTGTTAGATTGTGCAATCGTTGCGAAAAAAAAATTTGTGATTAAAAATTTGGGTGTTAAAAATCTATCTATCTCATAATAGAGGACTTTAATCTAAAATAAGAACGTATTTTTTTTAATATGACATAAACAATACGCACCCAAAAACTCAATTTATAAATATCTAATTTGTCGTATTTGATTAACCAATAAGAAACACGTAATAATTCCAATAATTCATTTTTATTATAAACACAAGTTAAAAAAGGAATATAGAAAAATATTGGAAGATAAAATGTACATGAAATGTTTTACACAAAAAACCTTATGTTCTCCACATTCTTCACAAAATCTTTGTGTTTTCTACGAATTCAAGCAGCAAAGAAAATTTTAGTAGAGTGGATAAAAGACAGTGAAAAATGAAAAATAGAGCACGGAGTAAAAGTTTATGCACTCTTATAAATAAAAAACGTAATAGCTGCTATATTAAATTATAAGGTTTGCGCAGCGTAGTTTTCTTATTACACTTTCTACTAAAAACGTTAACATCAATTCCAAGCATAAACAAAATTAATGGGTTAAAGAAACGTGTTCTTTATAAATGCTTCGAAAGAGGACAGCGTAAAAAACCTCATGTTTTTATTTATACCTTGTAACGATTTCAGTTTCCCTGCTGCGTCCACACGAGCGCGATAAATCGTACAATACTCGCATCAAGCGCGCACATTCGATTTCACGCGCGCACGCTATAGCTCGCGCGCGAACATCTCATATGCAACGACGCGTGCAGATACACGCTCGCGCGCGCGTGTATATGTAATTCGTTCTTGCACTTGTAACACAAGCACGGGCCATGCGTGCACACGTAAGCAAGGAGATACCTGAATAGATAAAAGCAGGGAGATACGGGGTCCGCTCGCCGCGGCGCGGCGACTCGCCCCTAAGCTCGTTGCGCTCGACGGAGGATCGCGCATACGAATGTACTCCATAATTGGCCGAAAGCATTGGACTTCCTACGATTATATGAGTTATTATTGCCAGATTATGCTAATTCCACAGAAGAGATGAAAGCTCGCGTGGATGCACTCGTGAATGCGTGTCGTGCTGCTCCTTTGGTCGGCGCAGCGCTGTTAACCGGTATCCCCATCGGGAGATTATTAGGGTAAAATAAGAATGAAGAGATACCTTCAGAATGCCTTTCTACATTCCTTATCCTTTCCCTTTTTGACGCAGTATATACGTTTTTATGTACGTTGATTGTTTTTAATGTTGGACAATTAGCATGGGCTAATTGTACAACCAGAAAAAAAGATTTAGTTAGGTTAAACAAACGAGATACGTTAAAATCACATTCCTTTGAATCTTATCTGTTTTTATTGTAAATATTATTTAATTAATTAATGACCAGCTTCCAGACATCTCTATTTAAATATTACATATATGTTTCAGTTTAGTTTTTAATTCTGATTAACGTGAATCTTCCAATATTTTTCCATATATTTTCATTTTAATGCATCGAAAAGACGTTTTGTTGAAAAAGATTCTACATGCCTACGGAGATCTACGTGTGAATCTGTGGATCTGTGTGCCAGCAACCGCAAAAGAATTAAAGGCATTCAACGTTTTATGACCACATCGCGCGGCATGTTAAGCGTTTGTGCTCCAAGTCGGAATTTAAATTATATCGCGCCGCAGCCAGTATAAGTAAATTCGATCCAAGCAGTATTTATACGATAAATAAATCAGAATGCATTTTTATGCGCACAATAATAATGCAAAAGTTATCTCGCGCATCGCGTAACGTTGTGTAAAAAAAAAGACATAAAACGATAATAAAATTATAATTTTTCCAAGCAAATTTTAGCAAGTTCTGGCAAGTGTTTCGCTTGCGTTGCGATATAAAACAGAACGGAAATTGCTACATTTGTACATTATTATACCATTACAAAAGTAGTGCCCGATTCGCGCATTAATACTTTCGTATTTTATCGCAATCGCTCATGAAAGAAATAAAAAATAATCTCCAGAAATTTCCTTTCAGTTTACTGTAACTTACGCACACTTGTTTATACAATAGTATTCAAAGTATAATTTAAAAAATACGCGAAGAAAATACACTGAGAAACAAGTCTTTGAAAATTTATTTGAGGCATATAACATTTATTTCACTGAACCTAACATTATATGCCTCAAATAAATTTTCAAAGACTTTTTCTCATTGTCAGTGTATCAAGAACGTGATGCACGATGAAATCGCATTAAATCTTGAAGACTTTAAATTGAATCAATTGCGCAGATTACGTTATGACGAATTGTGTGCGTACGTCAACGCAGATAGCGGATTTGAAGAAAGAATTCGGAAGAAATTTCTTTGCAGTAGCAATTTTGTTTCACTAAAAATCTATTCCAACGGGGGATACATAGATGCATTTGTTCGACCCTAAGACCCGTGTTTCGCTAGTTTCAATTAATCGACAGAATGTGAGTCTCTCTGGGGATTTTGCGAGAAAAATGGCCCTCGAGAAAATATATCTAGATGGTCGTGAGACTCGGCCCTCTTTGCGAGACATTTTCTGAGAGTTGGACCTCCGAGAACCCTTCAGTTCGCCATCAGTCGAAAATCGCAGCAGCGCAACGTGTCGATTATGTTCACGCGATCAGCGGAAGTTTTCGAACGCCACCGGAACCGGAACGCGTGCAAGCGCCCGTTGCCAGAGCTTCGTTATTGCAGACCAGACTATCTTAGTTTGAACAAAGTTCAGCGATAAGTCAGCTTGAATTGCCAGTCTCGTGGTAGCGCGGGTGTCAAATCAGACTTGGTCAGCGCAAACTTTTATTAGCCAAGTTCGGCCGACTTGAATCGCCCCGAAAGGAAACTTTAACGAGACCGGATTAGAAACGTCGCGTTATTTTTACTTTGAAAAAGATTTACGTTTGATTGTTTAAAATGTGCAATTAATATCCTTGGCACTTGTTTTAACTCCAGCACTGAGGAAAATTTCCATCGGATAAGCCAATTAAATAGTGTTTCCGATGGTTAATTTTTCCGATTACGTTTTCCAATTAAATTATGGATACATCCGATGAAATGCAGTTACCGATGAAATTTGATCGAAAAGCCAATCATATTTTTCCTCGGATATACAATTTGATCGGGTATATCCGTTTGTTATTGTGTAATTGGACTATCCGTTTATATCTAATCGGGCATTTTTCTCAGTGAAGGTATACAAGTATCATTTACTGCCTCGTTCGATAATAAATCTTGAATTTATCTTTGTCGTCATTTTATTGAAACATTTCTATTACTATTACATTTTCCAAATAGTGCCGACGGATGCACCGCGTTGCAACATAAAACGGATATACGACGGTGCATGGACTCGACCGTCTGTCGAAATAAAACTTTACGCAACTTCTTGGAGCACTGACTCCGCTTATTAAAGATCGCCACGATACCATGTTGATTATGAGTACACCAAGCTATTATCCTGCCTATCGTAATCGCGCATTTTCGCTTACTATTTACGGACGCCATGCTGATCGAGATCGACAAACCGAAATGATCGCTTTTAGGCGAATGTTGCGCGACGCCGCGCAATTAGGCGGAATTAAATTGTTATCGATAATTTACCGCAACATTCATGCGCACGGGCAATCTCGATGGAATCTATAAAATGCCGGTAGCACAGATTATATAAAATGTTTATGCATGCCTGTGCATGGCGAGAAATCTTTACGATGATGCTCGGTCGTAATATTCTTGTATAGATATTCGCGGTAACCTTTGAACATATATTAAACTGAAAAATCAGCACATATATAAAATAGCACAACGAGAAATGTGCTCTCTCTTTCCCTCTACAGCTTTTCATGCAAAACTTTGCTTTTTTTAAATTATTGCATTGCAACACGCGACTGTGTGATTACTTCAAGGATCTTTACGGTTTAATTTCGAATAATAAGTAACTGTATATTGTTATGAGCGATTCCACATCGCGATATGGTTAAATTAGTGACACGCAGAATTCTTATCCTGAGATGCTGCGAAGCTTTATACTTTATTGTAATTATCGCGTTCCTTAAGAAAAAGAGATAGAGTAGGTACAATATCAATTTGTATGAGAGTATGTCGTGTGAGATTCTGCCTCGGCCAATTTCAATTTTTCCAATAAAAAAATTTAAGAAAAAAGTTAAATTACATAATTATGTACATACATTAAAGGCGTAATAAGTTTGGCAACTGAAGTTGTTCTTGTAACAGCACAACTGCATGCCTTCCAACACGTAATATACAATAATTGTTTCAGATAATATAATCTATACAGCACATTTAGCGTATTCTCATATACAGGGTAGGCCATTTTAATGTACCCACTGAAATATCTCAAAGTCTATAAGTTTAAGACAAAAATGTTTGGTGTCCATCTCGAAACCAAACAACTTTTGTACGAAACATTTTTGTCTTGAACTTAGAGATTTTGAAACATTTCAGTGAATACATTAAAATGACCTACCCTGTATATGTATATTGTGTATAAATTTATATCTCTTCAGTCTATTACGATTTTGATTTCTAAAAATTAATATTCATGTGAATCTAATAATTGATTCGATTGAAGCAAGCGCTCATGCCGATTTCTTCTACCAGTGGTAAAACGCGAGACTTAATTTCGCTTTCGATTAGTGTGACGATCTTCTCAACCGCGATTCTGTTATGACGGAACATCACACGGTGCGACGGTTTTGAAACGGAATATTATCCGTGATGAAGCGAATTAACTGGCAGGTCCGTAGAGAAATCTAGCATAAAGAAACGGCGGAGAGCGAAATTTCTGTGCCGCCTGCCCTTGTACACCTTTAAAAGGACACGTAACTTATGTAATTGAATCTGTTTATTCGTTTGACATATCTCCAGGACTCTACGCTCGCTTACTCTCTTCTTCATTTTGTCTTTGAATCTTAAAACTAAAGAGTTTTTGCTTCAAAACTTATCTTTCTATAAGTCGCATTTTTCCATGGCCTATTGTTAACATTATTGTTGCAAAGTATCAAAAATAATTCCGACATTGTGTTACTATAGCAAAGTAGTTGATGGATCTATCAAGTCAAGAAGTAAGATCTCTGTAAAATTTACCAATACAGGCAAACATTCTATAACAAAATTTAACTGACAAAAATCTACTTTTCATTTTGATAAAGAGAGCAATACATAATTAATCTTTATTATACGCCGTAGAAATTAATCTACTATGGAAGCATAGCATCGAAGGCAGAAGATTAGAAAACAGTACGTAACATGGGCATGTGATGTTTAATGTCACATTATGGCATAAGTGATTCGTGCATAAATTTGTGCTACAAGAACGCTATTACGTCGTTATAAAAAAGCATATGGCACACACTACATAGTACAAGATAATTTACATCGAGTAATGTCAAATCAAACTATGTTTCCACGTAAATGTTACGTGCAGGAATCAGCAAACTACACTGAGAAAAATGTCCGATTAAATATAATCGGATAATCCAGTTGCATAATAACAAACGGATATATCCAATTTAATTGCATATCCGATGAAAAATGTGATCGGTTTTTCAATGAAATTTCATTGGTAACTGCATTTCATCGAATAAATTTTATCGGATGTATCCATATGACTTAATCGGAAAAATTATACATTGAAAACACTATTTAATTGGCTTATCCGATGGAAATCTTTCTCAGTGCACTCTTAACGAAAATGAATCTTTAGACTCGAGAAGAATATATGAGAAACTCGCTCGTGCTTTGAGGAGCTCTGACCTTTACAATGATCCTTCGTGCTTAGTGCTAAAGTGAAAACAATTCTAGATTCACAGACCGTAACTAGGTTCCACGATGATACGCACGTGCGCAAAACTTACGAAATGTGTCCGCTTCTTTTTTTTCTTGATCTTATTTCACTCTCGACGGTATAATGTTCCGAGTAATTTCGCAAGGTGGACGGTGTGCCCCGTGAGTTGCCGAACAAATATCGATCAAGTGTTAATTATAGCTGTGAGAAACGGGAGTTGAGTGTCCTCCGTTCAATGTCCTCCAAAATCTAGTTTTCTTACAATTTTGCTTTGTTTCTCGCGTCGTATGTGTATAATACGTCATACACTAAGAAAAATGTCCGACTAAATATAATCGGATAATCTAATCGCATAATAACAAACGGATATATTCAATTAAATTGTATATCTGATGGAAAATATGATCGGTTTTTCGATAAAATTTCATCGGTAACTGCAATTTAATCGGAAAAATTAACCATCGAACACACTGTTTAATTGGTTTATCCGATGAAAAATTTTCTTAGTGTACGTATTAGTTTGTTATAAGCGCATCGATTAAGTAAGTTAATTAAATGCTTATTAAATGCTGGCAATAAGAAACAACTGGAATGTCAAGAAGTTGCGTAAGCCGTATCTTTGGCTGTCATCAAATTATGTTAAAATAATGGTCATACTAACGTACACTTGTTCGATAATTCACGAAATGTCGACGCATGACTGATTCTACTGTACAGCTATTACGTCATTCGTTAATGATCGTACAACTTGGTTAATTACTACGTAATTACAGATTCGCTTTCTGCTCTTTATAAATCTATCTCCTGTAAATGTATTTGCGCAATGTTTCAAGCTCTTGAAGCGATATTCTTAAACGCAATTTTCTTTATCACGAATTTTTCTTTAAAAAGATCTTTTTAATCTACTTGTCATAGTTTTCCATTCTTTTGCGCGCGCGCGCGTGTGTGTATGTGTGCGCGCTCACGCCTGTCTTTCGATTTATTTAATATTCGCGTTGACTCGCATTGACTAATATTCGTACTCGTAATTATATACGCTTCAGTTTATCGAATCAATTTTTGACCATTAATTTCTATCGAATTATTAAAAATTTAATATTTATTTTAACATTGTAAAAATATATAGACAAGTAAGTGGCAAGAGACATGGAAAAGCAAAGAGTAAGAAGACACGATTAGAAAGCATCCCTCCTCAAGGCACAAGTTCTCGAGAGCAAGTAATGGCGGTCGACTTCTGACTTTAGCAGCACCTCGTACAATCCATCCGCCAAGAAAGACGCGGAGAAAGGTGTGACAGTGTGATCGGATTGATCAGCGCGACAGGGAGGAGAGTGCAACGAACGAACTTTCCTTGGCCGTTTCGGTTTCAGGTGGCTGACCGTTGTACCAGAACCGATACGGGTTTTCTGGGTCGGGCCTCTCACTGGCCTACACTACAATCGCGGGCAAAAGTGACCATTGAAGTCAACCAGTGCGGTCTCAGGTGAATGGATAGCTAATCCTAGATCGAATGTACGCTTAACAAGGATACCGGAGATCGCGCGCATTGAGTTACGCTCGCTCCTCCGTCTCGATTGTTCTGACTTTCGAGACCTCCCCGCGTTAACATAGTTCTTAGAAATCTTGGAAAATATTTGAGTTTCGCGAAACTCATTGTGTGATCCCCTTTACACGTTTCGACTAAATGAATAAATTTCCCACGTGAATCTTACCTCCAATTGCACTCCGAAGAGATCTCTCGATCTTCCAGGTCTAGGAGCATTCAGTTCTTGCATCTCGGCTTCTCGTTCTACCAGTCCCATTTCTTCAAGGTACCTGAAGGCACACGACAAAATTCTAAGTCTAATTGCAATTAAATTTACAATTCTTTTATTTTTACCAACAATATAAGATAACTGCACTGCAAAAAAGTATGTAAATTGCATACATGATAAGTGCAGCGATTACACCATTATTGTATTAATGGAATTGTATTAACGGAAATATATAAAATTATTTACTTTTACCAAAAATCTTTTTACTCTTTGTTGTGTAAATACTGTTTATACGTGATGAAAAATCACAAAAAAGTGTAAAATTTACACAATTAAAAGCAAGCAGTTTACTTATTATGTAAGGTAATAATTTTACCTACAAGGTCTAATACATCTTTGATAGATGGTCCCAATATTACCCACTACAATAATTGTAATTTTACATGTAAGTTTTTTACAACGTGGACGCAAATGGATGGTAGTAAAAAGGTATTAATAAAGATGAGTAAACCTCAGTATAGCAACAGAGTTTCGCAAAACTAATGGATAATAAAAAATATATTGTAAAATTTTTCATTGATTAACAACGCTCTTTCTCGATCGAAAGATAATGTTACGACGTATGAATTATTAATTGACAGCGCCAATAAAATGGCGAAGCAGCACCGTCACAGTCACTGAGCTTAACAAATACGCTTTTCTCTCGTCATGATGTATTACATCCGTTGCTAGTTTCTTCTGCTTTTATGAAACAGTTAAGCATCATAAAAATGATATATATCATAAAATGATATATACGGCGAAACTAAATCAGAAGTTTTCTCAGAGAAACTATGGTAAACCAACTATAACAGAAACAAGGTGAGCTTGATATACGAAGCATTCTGCAGCGGAATATGAATCATTCGACGAAGAAAGACTCATAACAGTTATGCGTTTAAATGTCTCCAAGCATGACGAGTGCCGAGACAAATCTAGTTTTTATGAAAAGATAATTAAAGTAATTGAAACCATCAAAGATAATTGCCAGCAATTCTGCTGTAATAGTAGTGTCACAATGCTCTCGCTCATAAATATGAAGATATTTTTAAACTAACACTTTATAGAAGATCTTGATAATAATGTGAAATTAAAAACAATAGAGAGGTATTTATTTACATTGAATGGACAATACAACGAGAAATCTTAATCAATTTAAATGTCGAAGAGTAAATGTGTATTTTAGAAAAATCATTATTAAGTTTATATTCATTATATTATACAATAATTTATTTAATTATGTTACACTTCTTGTTATCACATTATTTGACTTGTTATAAGATTTAAATGACAATGCAACGAGAAATCATAATCAATTTAAATGTCGAAGAGCAAATACGTATTAAAAAAATTCATTATTAAGTTTATTCATTATCAGTAATTTATTTAATTATGTTGCAGCTCGTCATTTAACTCGTTATCGGGTTCAGATGAGAGCGAGTTAATTTACGTTGCCAAATTCTCGTTTTCTCTTCTCCGTCGAGTGTGAAAATCCAACTGAAAAAGGTCACGCTCTTCCACTCGTTTCACACATGACACTTTCGCGTAAACGCTATTACCCCGTTGGCATTTAAAACAATTACGACGCGCGGGGTCATTACCGCGGCGCCGGGAATACCGCGACGCCGCGCCGTCGTCAAAGCGTGCGAATCACGGCGCATTGTCTGGCGATCCGGCACCGGGGAAACAATAAAGCCAAGAGTAAAATGCTACGGCTCGCGAGAAGAACCGACTGTATCGGATATGATACCGGCAGAGAGTTTCCCGCGACGTGAATCATTCTTGAAGACGCCTTCGTGGATCTCGGCGGTGGCGGCAGACGCGATTTCAGCGGCGCTAGAAGAGCGCGCATGCAGAATCGCGTGATTTCGCGAGTCACGAAAAGCGTCTTGAACGAGGAGGATCGAGGAGGGGACGGGCGTAGGCGAGGCGGATCGGCGAGATGCACCGCAACAATGCGTCTGGGTAACGCGCGCGAACAATGGACGATACGCGGCGCGTACGTCCTTGTACCGTTATCTCACTCGCCGCGGAAGTATCCGCTAATTATTTGCAATTAATCGCAGAACGGCCGGGAGCGACGCTCCGACACTCTAGGACAGCGTCGTCCCCCGCCGTGGGCGCGGATGGCGGTCTATCGCGTCTATCGCGTCTATCGCGTTACTACATCGGTTGTTAACGCTGTAACGAACGTCGTTGCGCGCCGAACGTAATTGCTTTCCCCGCATAATTTGTAATTGCATTATTATTATCTCTTTTCTGCGAGCGTTTTAATGCGTCGCGCAATTAGGCGCATAATTAATCGTTAGCGACTGCCGGACTATCTTTGCCTGTTCCGCGCCTTATCCTAATGGCACATCGCGCCATATTACTTTGCGCTGCAATATGATTGCATTCGCCGTAATTCTGTTACGTCTCATGTCTCGTAATCTTCCCCCTTGTACTTCCTCGCCAGCCGAATTCCCTGACGTCGGTAAACGTCGACTCGAAGATTAAACGACATCAGTTTCGAGAAAATGCCCTCCTTCAGATCTTTTTTACCCACTTTAAGCTTGGAATGCTACCCCGGTAGCTTTGCAATTTCCAACTGTAAATTGGTACTGGTTACTCCAGTTCCCATGACGATCGAGTTAATTGAGGAGTGAAACTTCCCAGCGCAGGAACGTGAAGTAAAACAGAGCCATCGGTTATCAACGGTACTGGCTGTGCGTATGAAAGGATTTATAGAGCTTTTTCCCGTAGCGAGAGGATTCTCCCGGCCACACGGTGCCGGCGCGCGTGAAGCCAGAAGCGGAAGCGAAAGACGGCGGTGCACGCTGGAGGAGGCGAGTCAGTCCTAACGGGATCGCGATACGGATCATTAGCGCTGTTTAATCTACGAGCGAGCATTCTAACCGGCGCGGCGCGTTGTAAAATCGACTGCGTCACGGGAAGGAATCCTCCTCCTTCGATTTCCGCGCCGGCGAAGCGTCTCCCGAGTCATCGTCAACGTCACGTGACTTCCGTTGCCGTAAGAAGTCGGGGTATTACGAGCCGCGATAGCGATTCACTGTGACGACGCGCGACGTCGCCTTTTCTTCTGCCCCCTCAACAACTTATTTCACTTGGGAAGAAACTAACAAGAAGAGTAGAATTACTAAAAGGCCACCAAAAACACACGATACTTTCGCTTCGTGTTTGCCTATAGCGAATTCGGTCGCTTGCTCTTGTACACTGAGAAAAATTTCTATTCGGATAAACCAATTAAATAGTCAAACAAGCGAGAGCGCCTTTAGCTCCGAGCACGATGTTGGTAGCCTAATAATAGTAATCTAAAATGTGAATTCATATACCGTTTTCCACCTTGTCCCGCGCGCCAGTTTCTTTTCGGACGTAACACAGTTTCATTTCGGTGGAATCATTGTCGTCAGTGAATTCACATATTAAAATCGATAAATGATTAATAACAATTAAATTGTGTTTCCGGTGTTTAATTTTCCCGGATTACGTTTTCCGATTAAATTATGGATACCCGAGTCGAAATTTTGGCCCTATGTTGAACCTTTAATTCTATTATATGTATAGCAGGACCTAAGATAGTAAAAGAGGTCGAACTGCAAGTGCAAAATTTACTCCTATTTTAAAACCGATAGGTCGGAAATCTCTACTTTTGCCAATTTAGCATTAAAGTAGGTTCTTTTAAGTAGGAGCTAAAGTAAATTTTTAGAATTGAAGATTCAAGGGAGGAGTAAAAAATATGTCATCAAAGTAGGTTATTGCTGGTCTATGTAGGCGTATGATGAGCTAAGTAGGTGTAAATTATCCTTAAAAGTGTCAAAATCAGTGAACTCTATACATACTGGAATGAGTGATCTCTAGTTCTGGCTGTTGCCGAGAGAGAGGTGCGTTGGGTGAATCCTTGTCTCCTTCTAGTACTACCTGATTGGATAATCGCATATAAATGACGCCCTTCTTCTCGTTATTTATGTGCGACTATCCAATCAGGTAGTACTAGAAGGAGACAAGGATTCACCCAAACGCACCTCTCTCTCGGCAACAGCCAGAACAATAGATCGCTCATTCCAGTATGTATAGAGTTCACTGGTCAAAATAGTAGCAAAATTTCGACTCGGGCAGTTACCGACGAAATGTGACGGAAAAATGACACTTTTTATCAGATATAATAGCGCAAGCAACCGAATTCACTGTTAGACACAGCTGCCATCGCGCAAAACGATCGTTAGCATCGATGGGTCCTGCAATCGATGGGAAAGGACGCTTTTGCAAGAGGAAGAATAATTAAGGTTTGCTGATGCCGCTGGTGTCACGCAGCGTTCCCCAGTGTAAACAACGCCATCGAACGCCACCCCTGTCATTGTCGTATCCGACGCTAGTGCACCGTCCACTGCACTGGACGATGGACAAATAATAAGCAGTAATAATAATGTGGTGGACGTTAAATGTGCCAGCACACGATGGCCGCGGGTCTAATCGTAACAGGCGATCTTGACGAGCCATATCGTTGCAACTGCCATCCCTCTTTTACACTCACTTATCTTTTACCCTTGGCCGCACGTAAACGTCGTACAGCGGTAGATCCGCATTAGCATTCGTTTCATATTCCTTTCCACCCTCGACCCCTCCTCGTTCGACAAAAAGTAGACGAATAAAAACAGCTGTTGATAGAAATCAATTTTACAACGCTTGTAATGTTCGCTTTTTCACCTCTGACAATTAGGACTTTTTTCAGTTTAACAGTAGTCTCGATTCACGTGACAAGTTTCTTTCGTCTTGTTTTTTTTTATCCTCTTCCCGAGTCGAAATTTGGGTATTACTTTGAGACGTTTAAGAATAATTTACACCTACTTAGCTGATCTATACACCTACATAGACCAGCGATAACCTACTTGGATGACAGTATATTTTTTACTCCTCCCTTGAATCTTTAATTCTAAACATTTACTAATTAGCCCCTACTTAAAAGGACCTACTTTAAAGCTAAATTGGCAAAAGCAGAAATTTCCGACGCCATCAGTTTTTAAG